AGGTGAAACCCCGGGTAAATCTAAATAATTTTACCTTTAATAAAACTACTGGTTATTATGTTTTATGATACTTTTTCGGCTATTTTCATATTAGTCTAGGAAAATAGTCGAAAAATACATGTATTGCAAAAAAAAAATTCCTACCCAAATGAACTTTTCAGGGATGATAGGGGGCATTCACCCCTCTGGCGTTTTGCGCTATTGGGGTTGAAAGTGCGCCATTGGCGATTACTTGGTACCTATTGATTTTACAAAAAAATGTTTCAAATAAAAGATGTGCAACATTATTTGATCTACAATGTTTATCTAAAGATTTTTTTGATTAAGGGCCGTCTGTGGTCATAAGGGCGGTTTGAAATTTTATAATGAAAATGAAAAATTTTAACCAACGTGAAAAAATGTTTTACAACTCATACAACATTTTTGCTGTATGAAGTTTTTACTCACCCCCTGCCGTTTTTCAATAGGGGTAGTTTAAAGTTTTTTTATTTTTTTACAAAACAAATTTCTCAATAAAAGTTTTATAAGATGACATTTTCTACAATTTTTCCTAATCAACTTTTTTTGTAACTCACCCCCATTCAGCGGGGGACACTTCCCTCGGGAAAATTTTAGTTTTTAGGGGTATATATTATTTTTTTTTTCTTTTCTCGCCTTTAGTGCATATAAAAAGTTGCAATTAACATTGTATTAAAAGGATTTTTTTTTCACCACCTTTTTGTTTTTAGGGGTAGTTCGCCTATTTTCAACTTTACAAAAAAAAATTATTAGGAAAACTTGTTCATTTTATTATTTTGAGCAACTTTTCTCTATAACTTTTGTTTGTAAAGTTGAAAATAGGCGAACTACCCCTAAAAACAAAAAGGTAGTGGAAAAAAAAATCCTTTTATTAGAATGTTAATTGCACCTTTTCATATGCGCTAAAGACGAGAAAAGAAAAAATAAATTAATATATACCCCTAAAAACTAAAATTTCCCCGAGGGAAGTGTCCCCCCGCTGAATGGGGGTGAGTTACAAAAAAAGTTGATTAGGAAAAATTGTAGAAAATGTCATTTTATAAAACTTTTATCAAGAAAATTTTTTTGTAAAAAAATAAAAAAACTTTAAACTACCCCTATTGAAAAACGGCAGGGGGTGAGTAAAAACTTCATGAAGCAAAAATGTTGTATGAGTTGTAGAAATTTTTTTCACGTTAGCTAAAATTTTTCATTTTCATTATAAAATTTCAAACGGCTCTTATGACCACAGACGGCCCTTAATCAAAAAAATCTTTAGATAAACATTGTAGATCAAATAATGTTGCACATCTTTTATTTGAAACATTTTTTTGTAAAATCAATAGGTACCAAGTAATCGCCAATGGCGCACTTTCAACCCCTATAGCGCAAAATGCCAGAGGGGTGAATGTTTGATATTTTCGGTTTTATGATCACCCACCCGCCCCCTATCATCCCTGAAAAGTTCATTTGGGTAGGATTTTTTTTTTTGAAAATCGACAATTTTCCTAGACTATATTAATTTTAAAGTGAGAATATATCGCAAATTACTAAAGTAAAGATAAACAAATTATATATTTGATATGAGAAAAATAGGGGGGTTTTAAAAAATTGATTTAGATATAGATTATTCCATTTTAAAAAAATACTTTTTTGGTCACAGCGCTTTAACGAGAAATCTAATTGAATTTTGAAAAACGTTATCAAATTCCTAGAAACAAAATACACCAAATGGCTATCTTGATTTTTTTTAAAATATTTTTTTTTAGCGAAAAGGTAGGGAATGTTCACTTTATACTGGATCACCCTGTACATCAGCATCAGCTTTAAAATTATGAAACTTTAAAAGACAGGGGGCCTAGAGAGTATAGGTACCTACCTATATTAGAAGATGAAGGAAGTGGAAGTATGTGGGTATACATGTACCTTAACTGCTTTAAGGCCTTATACCTGGATACATAATTAAATAAAACAAACTCCCAATAAAATCTCAAAAAAAACGAATGTTTTAGGTTAAATTTTGTTGTTGACATCATTTCAAGGTGTCTAACGTGCTGAATTTTGCGGGACGTTAAGATTCTTGACTTTTTTCAATCTTGACTTGAGATTAATTTCAACTTTTTCCTTAGTGCATATCAATTATTGAAATGTACAAGGTCACTTGACTTAGTTTCAACGTCTTGAAATCTATGATTTCAATAAATTGATTTAAGTGCCTTCCTGCATATCAAACCGCCATTTTTATTGAAATTGTGATTTTTATGTCAAAATTTCAACATTGACTTCAAGTCAAGCTTAGTGCATAGGGGTGATTGTCAGCTGAATACTGAATTTATTATCGAATGTAATACCACAAGAGGTATCAGGATTACCGGATAATACTTTTACCTGTCACGAAACGCGTTATGCAGCAACACCACGACTCCGAAGGAGGAGTGGTGTTGCTGGTAACGCGTTGAGTGTCAGGTAAAAGTATTAGGTAATCCTGAAACATCGAATGGTATTCAAAGGTTATACAACGAACTAAACTTAAATGCTTTATTAAATTTTATTATTATTAATGACAAATGCCACCAAGCGCGATAATCCCAAAAGGCTTATCACTTATTAAGCCTCTCGTGTCATATGGGAATAATGTACAGTGAGTTGTATAACCGGTGTAATACACTCTAGTGAAATAGTCATATAGGTATAATACCACAAGAGAAAAAAATTTGCTGGCAAAATTTTCGACTGGTATGAAAGCAATTTCGTCAATGACATATCCTGACGGCTCGTGGTTTTGTCAAAAATTTCATGAGCGAAATTACCAAAAAGCAACAAACTTGAATAAAATCAAGAGAATAATTTTGCCTACATAATTTTTTCTTGAGTGGTATTCAGCTAGACTATTTCACAAGAAAAACAAGCCAAAATTTCATTAGAAAAATTTATTTTCTTCAGGTGACATTTCTCAAACTCAATAGTTTTTTACTCTAACCACACAAAATTTTGTCGCTAAAAAACCATATTATGTTGGTTTTGTCCAGGTAGGAACAGGTAGAAGTTTTGTCAGTAGGAAACCGACCGTTCCTATGACATTTTGCCAGTGTAAAACACTGAAATAGTCACACCAATTTTTTTATACAGGGTGTTCCAAGAACAGCTGTGCGATCATCAACTTTATTTTTTTAAATGGCACCCCCTGTATATTATGACATTCCTGGATTCTGCGGAAAGTTCTAGACATATTTTATGTTCAATGTCCTATACCTCAACTGTTTTGGAAATATTGACAGTTGAAAATTGATTTTTTTCCATCTTTGACAGACTGTAAAACCTAAATCGTTGATTTCACAGCAAAACCGATAATATATTCTTGTCTAAGTTTTTCATAAACTGTCATTTGACATCAACTTTGAATTTAATCCATGAATAAAAATTCCTGTTAAATTTAATCTCCGGTTAAATTCAAAGTTGGTATCAAATGAAAGTTTATGAAAAGCTACAGACGGGAATCTGGAATCGGTTTTGCTGTATAATTAACCGCTTAGGTTTTATAGCTTGTCAAAGTTGCAAAAAAGTCAATTTTCAACTGTCAATATTTTCGAAACAGTTGAAGATAGGTATATGACATTGTACATGAAATATGTCTAGAATTTTCCGCAGAATCTAGAAATGTCATAATGTTCTATTTAAAAAAATAAAGTTGCTGACCGTACAGCTGTTCTGAATGGGAGGTAATATTGAAGTAAAAAGTATCTAGCTGGAAGAGTTTTCTGGAACTCTACAACAAAAGGACCAGTATAACCAAGATACCCTTCGAAGATACCTAAATATAAAATAATATATAATATATAATATATAATATATAAAAAATATAAATATAGAGGTATTTCAAATGATCATTAGATGAACATTCTAGAAAAGGTCAATCGGACATTCCATCAATATCATTTGGTGCTTTATTTATAAGAGAATTATTATGATGATGGTTACAACTGATGATTTGTTTCTTGCATAGGTATATTTTGTCCCACACAAATTTGCTCCTCAACTTCTTAGAAAAAGATGTTTTTTATTCAATTTCTTTTAAGCCACATTTTTATTTGGAATGGCGTTTTTCTACGGCCTTTACAGCTGTTGCATTTTTCACTTATTTTAATTTGTTCCATAAGGAAGCTGAAAATGTCTTGCCAATTTAAAATGATTTTTCGTTTCCTCGAGGCAATTTTGATTATAATAATTTATATTAGATGTTGTCATTGATGTCTATGCATTTTGAATTATATTGATTAGATTTCAAAGTTGAGAAAGTAATTACGACACATTTGCATAAAGTTCATTCAGGTGTGTAGGTACCTGCTTACTTTATCGGCCTTTTCCTCCAATTACTATTTTCTAATTCTGAACTTAAATTCAACTGCTGACAAACTTATATAAAGTCAGCGCTTTTCTATATTGTAAAAACGTTTAGCCATGCTATCAAAAATAAATTGCCCTTAATTCCTGCTTATTTTTCGTTTATTTGTAATTTTTCACATAAAATAGGATTCCCATTATGCAAAACTACCGAAATAAATTTAATAATAGGTCACTGAGCCCCAAATTTTCAGATAACTTACTGTAATATGATCATGAAAGATTATTAGAAAAATAATTCCGTTCACATAAATTATGATGTTTTGGTAACCGCGCTTAATGAACTTTGAACGAAAGCATCAAAGATCATGAATAAATCAAAATTTCAAATTAAAACATTTTATACAAACAAATTTAATTCAAATGTTATTTTTAGATAAATTGGAAAAATCGTCGCTACAGTTAATTTTAATGAATTTCCATCGCGTTCAGTTTGAAATAATTGCCTCTAATTAATTCAAAACTAAAATGTAATTAAGTGAAAAATACTTTGCTTGTCTATAATCAACCAATCGCACAAATGTTTATGGTAATTTTTGTTTATTTTAAAAAAGATTTCTTTAGACTTTAAAACCTAATTAGAATAAATTTAATTTTCTTACCTTGCAGATGCAAGAGAAGCAATCTACAATCTGTGCATCGAATCCGGTGGTAACTGGTTCACCTTCATTTGGACATGTTTGCCTTTTTCCAGCAGGAAGTGGCGCTAAAACAATAAAATTAATCTTTAAAAAGGTTTTTCGCAAGAAATTCCTAATTCGCTGCCAAAAATCTCAACCTACAAAGTCTTGTAATCGGTTAGAGTAGGTCAGGTTGTACTGCATATCTAATATTAATTTCGATTTGCCAACCAGTACACTACGGGTTTAATTTTAATATCTAGGACGTAACAATGACACACAAAAATATGGGTAGGTAGGTGCAATATGATAAAATAATAATTGGGTATTAAATTTAATTTGTTTTGATCCGATTTTGTTTAATTTTATTTCAATACCTGTTTTACGACTTTTTATTTGAGCTGACTCTGCAACCAATTAAGGGATGTGAACGGACTTTCGTTCAGAAAGTACGCGATTTCACCCTGCTAAATGCTTATGGGTATGGAAAAACCATACTGATTAAAACAGGCTAGAGATAAAGATAATCGCTCTGGAACTCCAATATCCGTAACCGGAACAGAGTCGCAGTCCGCAAAAAAAAAGAACGACGAACGAACCAGCAAGTAGGTATTATGATAGAAATAGCAATGGCCTTAACTTACATCACCAAGTTCAATCTGACACTGGATAACTATCTTCAATGCTGGAAGCACGCGGTGGTAGACTGGTAAGGCAAAGAAGGACAAACAGTCCCTGTACGCTTTTCTGTTGATATCCGTTATCAGAGTATGAAGATACGTTGGAGATATGATATCGTAGATTGTTCCCCTGTTAAACTGGATATTTATCATATTCTCGTAGTATGAAATTATTTCTGCAATGTAGTTAGTTGCTATTTGATAAGTGCTTAGAACATGAATATTTAGGCTGTTAATGTCTATACTTGTAAACCATTTGTTCATAGATTGAATTGCTTCTAATCCTTGATTAAGCCTTGGTTGGAATATGCGAAGTTGATTATTTATTTTTTCTTCGGTAGTATTGAATGTTGATAGTGCGGAGATCATGAATTGAAGAGTATAATTTCTAAAGAGTCTAAGTGCCAAAATTTTGATTTTGAGAAAAACGAGAAAAAGACTACAAACATGCTTATATAAAGTTTGCACTTACATCCTGCACCATCTTCAAATCAATATCAGAACCAAATACATGTATTGTTGCCACATAGACCTTTTTTGATTGTATTAGGGTCGAGTCTTGGAACCATTTTCAAACATTATACCAAAAATTATCGAGATGGCACATAGACCCTTTAGAAGTTATACTCTACAATTATGTCTGGTGATTGGAAGCTTTTATCAACATTTCTTGATTTTTGTTCATATTATTTATATCCTCGTAGACCTCATCGTTAACGCCAAAAACAGACGTCAGAAATTTTCCCAGTAAACCTCTTTTTGGACGAAGTTGTATCTCTTGCAGGGTCTTAAATATCCAGCTAAAATGTTGTTGTTGCTCTTTTAGATGATGGTCCAATATTTCACAGTGCGTTTCTTCCGATAGTTGTCTTGTCTTGTTACACAGCATCTCAAAATTGTTTACGACGCTAGTTACATTCTGGATGTCTTCCTTGATTTTTGTTCTGTTATAAGTGACTTCCATTCTAAATGTTCCTCTATTTATTTGTGCCGTTCCAAAATGTTCGATGTAAATACCTCCTTCGGGATATTTTATAACATAGCTGCTTTGACATTTTGGGATAAGCATCAAACTGAACCATAACATAAATCGTTACTTTTGATTCCTCGGTTTTCACATGGTGCTTCACAGTGCCTTCTCTTTTGATATTGTGACTGCTTGAGGTTATGGCCATATTTGCTGTAACCTGAGTGGGAATGGTCAGTGTTTTTTTTCCCATTTCTTGTAATGGAAGTGGGATCAATGTATGTATCAGTCGTTTTAATGTAGCTCTGTCTGCTTTCTTGAGTGTGATTACTCTTACTACGCCATCTCTTCCAGGATGGACATCTGTTACGCGTGCTAAGGGCCATTGACTGGGATTTATTGTATTTTCTTTTATAATTACCATGATTCCTTTCTTAAGGTTGGTTTCCTGCTTTTGCCATTTATATTTTTGTTGCAATCTTCCTAAATATTCTGTGCTCCAAACTTTCCAGAAGTCCTTTTTAATTTTTTGGGTAAGCCTTTATTTCTCTGACAAACTGGAATTTATATTACTTGCTATTGGGTCAATTGGAGAGAATATTCCTCTTCCAATTAAAAAATGACCAGGAGTTAGGACAAAGTAGTCGTCTACTGGCTTGCTTCGATTTGGTGTAAAAAAGTTGTAAGTTCTTCATACGTGAGGGTTGTTTCTCCAATTACTCGTTTGAGGTGATGTTTCATTGACTTGACTCCAGCTTCCCACAGTCCACCAAAATGAGGTGCCGCCGGTGGGATGAAGTACCAGTTAGTTCCAAGGTTGACCATTGTATTTTGCAGGGATCGGTGTTGAATTAATTTGAGAACTTCTTCTTCAAAATAATGTGCTGCCTCAACAAAATTTGTTCCATTGTCACTGTAAATATTTTCGCAGTGACCTTTTCTTGCAGTAAATCTCCGGAAGGCTGCTAAGAACGAATCGGTCGTCATATCGCTTACCACTTCTAGGTGTATTGCCTTAGTGGAAAGACATACAAAAACTGAGATATAGCCTTTATATGACTTGTGACCTCTTCCTTTAGTAGCTCTGATTTTGATAGGGCCGGCATAGTCTACTCCACTGTTAATGAACGGTGGGAGTGGTGTGACCCTCGTGGCAGGTAGTTGGCCCATTTGCTGTTCTGCGGTTTTTGATTTGTACCTGATGCATGTAATACATTTACTCAAGATGCATCTTACAATTTTCTTCCCATTAATAATCCAGTATTTTCTTCTGAGGTAAGCCAGTGTTGCTTGGTTTCCGCCATGCAGGGTTTTGTGATGTGCGTCCATTATTATTAGTTTGCTCAAATGATTTTGACTTGGTAGTATTATAGGATGTTTCTGAGTGTATGGTAACTCTGAATTTTGTAATCTTCCGCCAACTCGTAGGATTTGTTCCCCGTCAATAAATGGGCTTAGGTTGCATATTTTGCTCGATTTCTCCACGTTTTTTTTTGTATTAATGGACGATATCTCAGGTGGAAATTCGCAGTTTTGGATCACTTTGATAACTTCTTGGAAGGTTTTTCTCGTTTCTTCGACAGATAATATTGGTTCGTTGGACCTGTGGAAAACTCTTCGACAGTAGCTTAATATTCTTACCATTCTGGTTAAGTCGGAGAATCGTTCGATTATGTTTTCTGTGATTTGTGTTTTAACCAGGAAACATTTTATGGTTTTCTTAGCTTCTTGGTCCGTTTTGGGTATTTCTTTAGCTAATTAGTGGTTCATGACTATGAAGCCATGCTGGTCCATTCTACCACAGGAGATTGTTTGCTAATTGTACTGGATTAGACCCTCTGGATATAACATCTGCTGGATTTTCGGATGTTCTTACGTGGTTCCAGTGACTGCTGTCTACGTATCTATGTATATCACTCACGCGATTGGCAACAAATGTTTTCCATCGATTGGGCTGGCCTTTTATCCAGCCTAATGTTATCATGGAGTCACTCCATGCGAAAGTTTCTATATTTTCTATCTCTAGTGTCGAAATAGTTTGATTTATCATTTTCGCTAATAAGTGTGCTGCACAGAGTTCAAGTCTCGGTAACGTTGTTCTTAGTTTTACTGGGGCTACTTTTGATTCTGCCCAGAGAAGTATGACAACTATGTTCTCTTCAGTCGTCATTGTTCGGCTGCAGATGACAGCTCCATAGGCCTTTTCAGAGGCGTCACAGAATCCGTGGAGTTGAATTAGGTTTCCTTGACTAAATTGCATTCATCCTGGAATTCTGATTTCTTCGACTTTATTCATGTCCTTTCTAAAGGTTATCCATCTGTCTACTAGTTCACCTTCTATTTTTTTTATCCCATCCTAATCTTTGTAGCCATAAGTCTGGTATGAGTACTTTTGATTTGATGACTATAGGTGATAACCATCCTAAAGGTTCGAAAATTTTTGATATCTCTGATAGGATGCGCCTTTTTGTTATTAGATTTTCTGCTGATGTGGTAACTTTGAACATGAAGTTGTCATCATAAGGCGACCAAAATACACCAAGTGATTTTTGGATGTCATCTTCGGATAATTCTTGGACGGTTTGGTTTTGTTGCGATTTGGGAAGGGCTTGAAGCAGGGTTGGATTGTTACTGGTCCATTTTCTGAGATTAAAACCAGCAGATTGCATCATCTTGAGTAACTGTTGTTGAATTTCTATTGCCGATTCTAAGTCATTGGCTCCTGACAGGACATCATCTACGTAAAAGTCTCGTAAGGTGATTTTGCTTGCAATAGGATACTTTGTTTCTTCAGATTTTGCCAATGTTTGTAAGGTCTTAATGGCTAGGTATGGTGCAGATGCTATTCCATATGTGACAGTGATTAGCTCGTATTCAATCATTCGGTGTCCGCTGTCAGATCGCCATAAAATTCTCTGTTAAGGTTGATCTTCTCGATGGATTTTTATCTGTCGATAAATTTTTTCTATATCGGCTGTAAAAACTACTTTATGCTGCCTCCATCTTAACAGGATTTCAGATAGGTTCTGTTGGAGTCTTGGACCAGTAAGCATCAGATCATTTAGGCTAACATTGGATGTTGATTTACTCGAAGCATTAAAAACAACTCGTAGTTTTGTGGTTGTACTGTCCATTTTAAATAGTGCTTGGTGTGGTATGTACTACCTATCTGATGCCTTCATGTAGATTTTGAAATGACACTTTTTTCATGTGCCCTAATTTCAAATATTCATTCATGAATGCATCGTATTGTTCTTTAAGGCAAGGTTCTCTCAAAAACCGGTTTTCCAGGCTTCTTAAACGGGCACCCGCTCTGGGTTTTGTTTGTCCTAAAACGTGTGCCCTGTTTGAAAGGAATTCTGACTATAAATCTTCCTTTTTCATCTCGATAGGTAGTCTCATCGTAAAATTTTTCGCAAATTTCGTCATCTTCTGATAT